CTTTCATTAGTAAATGAATAAAAAATCCGCTGTGCTTTTTCTTAAAATCTTTGGAGAAAAAATGTATTTAATTACATTGTTGTGCAGAAATAGTAATGCTCTTGAAGATGGTAATGATCTTGGAATTCGATCCTGGGTCAATTTAATGCAAGTCAAATTCTCTACCACTAGCGTGAAAGAGCTCCCATGTGATAGGTTCAAGAATTCAAAGTCTTTTGAATTTGCTAGCATTGAGTTGCTCTCGAGATCACTACAGGATACTATTGCCTATTTCTTCCCTTTTCTTTTACCCCCCCCCCACAGTATCTTAGAAGGAACTCGGCCGTAGCTTTAAATGGAATTGCCTTGTTTATGGTAAATATGCTGTTTTATGCAGAGGGGGTGAAACGATCTTTGGTGTAGTCTGTGTAAATTTAAGGCGGATTATAACATTGCTCACTGTTTGTACTAGTTGACATTCTTTATTTAAAATTTTATTTGATGAGATGTTCAAATGAAACAATAATTCTCGTCAAGGTTGGTTAGGAATTTGGAATTACCGTATTTGATGGCATATAAGATGCATCCTTATTCAGATGGCCACACGCAAGGAAAAAAAGTGTCAATAGCGTGGTTTCTTTGAGTTCTCACGTTTCGTAAAAGCCAAATAAACAATTATTGAATGCAATTACCTTCACATATAAGACTGTGTCCTTCACGTATAAGACGCAGGTAACTTTTTTGAGACCAAATTCAGGAAAAAAGTGCGTCTTATATGCAGTCAAATACGGTAGTTTATGCTTGTAAAGAAGACTAAACTCTATAGTGTGAAGAAGTTTAAGAGAGGGATACCTTCAATGAGAACTTTCATAGGAAAGCTGGCTTGTATTTAAATTATACTTGGGGAACAACCACAAAAATGCCCAATACAGCCAGCCTGTTCTTCGTGACTTAAACCCAGTTTGAATTATCAGCATTCAGGTTACCTTATTAGCCACTGATGGACAGTTTTAATATATTACAAAGAAGAATGGCTAAAAGCTATCTCATGACTTCTTCAATATGATTAATGACTCAACCAAATATAATTCAATATGGTTAATACTCAAATACGCCAAACATTTTGGCGAAAAACTCCACGGTGTCATATTACTATCTGAATTTTTTCTTCTACATTTCGAACTTTAAACCTAAAATGTCTTCAAAAATACGGTTTTCGCACATGCAAAAACCACGTTTTGAACACACAATTTAAATTCTAAATCATTTCCTCTTCATGCTCTTTCCTTTTTATATTAGATTCGTTAAATAGTGCTTTTTAAAAGTTGTGCTACATTTTGCTCTACATAATGTAATCAACATCATCCTTTTCATAGAAGCCGAGCCCTGGGGACCAAATAAGCATAGTCCCTGATGTCTCATAAACATTATCTTTTTTTATACAGTCCATTGGGCCAGACTGAATAGACTTTCGCAGAATTATTTACTAGAGAACGTTGCATTCTCTATATCATGTAGAGTGAACCAATATATAAACGTTGGAAAAAGATAATCTCGAACATTCCAGTACCTTATCCTCTAATTCGTAACACTAGCCTATCAGTCTGGAAGCTAACTTTATTATCCTCCACATCACTTAGGCAGTTCCAGTAATTAACTATCCTGCTTTGGCTTTCAGAAGATATTTTAGCTCTTTTGTTTCATTCCAAGACTACATTGGTGTAGCTGAAAGTGTCAAGCTATTTTGAAATGTTAGAAATAATTTTATGATTTGTTTAACTAAATAGTTAATAGGCTATCATATTACCTATCATTGATGTATCTTTTAATACGTGTGACTCTAAAAGTTTAATTATGTTTGCATTCCATTAAGATTGTAGGGAATTTTATGTTAATTAACTAGTTATTTATAATTTCAGCTTTTAACATAACCTCCTTTTTCGTACTCCTCACCAGAATACAACTGAGTAGCCGATATTTAAAGCGAAGTTTTTGGATTTTAAGACAGGGCATGTTATAGGCTTCGATGTGTTCTCTACGTGTTAGTTTCCTGCCAGCTCTGATTGTTGCAATTATTTGCTTTCCATCTTCTCGCTGAGGCATTTTAATTCTGACGTTCTGAAAGAGTAGTGAGCCAGTTTCAAGAATAGTAATTGCAGTCTTTAATTAATTTTCCACGTTTAACTTAAATTAGACTAAAAATCTGAAACAAACACAAAAAATTTAGATAGCAAAAACGTAAAGTATCTAACCAAAAATATTTGACAAGAATCCATGTACACAGCGATATGTTTTAACGTAAAAAAACATATACAGTCAAAAGTCGTTAATTCGGACACCCATAATCCGGAATGATCTATAATCTGGACCTCAAAGCTACAAACTTTCTGCGTATGCGTCGCATTGATGGCTGGGGCATAATACGTTTATGACTGAGGCATAATACATTTTATGCATGCACGTTTAATGTATAACGGACGGTATAAGCTAAGCTAAAATTATCTAATTCAGTTAATGGTGCAGATTGCATTGTTTCTTAATCTTCGAATTGGATCCGGCTTATTATTTTTTGCAGACTGTTAGCGCAATTTTATAAAAGTAAGCTTGAACTTTCGAGTATGTCAAATAGAATTTCCGATATATATTTACTAATATGTAAAGGATCTACAAAGTGAAAGTATGTTTGAAAGTCCATTAAACCAAAAGTGGAATTTCTGCAAAAAATGTATAAAGGCATATCCTTTATTTCTCTAACCATTCCGAAATCTGTTTATCAATTTCACGCTGCTCTGCGGGGGGGGGGGGGGGACGTCGCGGCACGCAATGAACTGGAAGTTGATCTGTCAGCACTATCCTTATCTTCAGGGCAGATGTTTTTATTTTATTTGGCTTATAATTCCTTACTAAATGTAGTATTTCATCTGGATGTACTCCGTCTTTGATATGATTTAAATCAAATTCCTCGTCATTATAATTCGCTTCCGATAGTAAAGAAAGTGACATAGAGGTTATTGAAAACGAAAAAATTTTGATTGACAAATTAGTCGGTATTCTTGACACAGCAACTATAGGACTTCAACAGCGGAACTTTGTAACTGAAGAAGAAATCATGTCTGTTTATAGAATTAAACAGAAAGTATTATCACATAAAAAGTCAACAAATAAATATTAAGCTTTTTTTTGTAAATTTTAATACCCTTTAGATCATAATTGATTTTTATTTCATAAATTACAGTTTCATATTTTTAATTTTATAATTTCTGCATGCCATTCTACCAGATTTAAACTGAAGATCTATAATCCGGAATCCCCGAAGTCCCGACGAGTTCAGATTAACGACTTTTGACTGTACAAATTGCACAATCTAGACAATGAACGAATCTACGAACTATGCACACCTTGCTTTAATAAATTAACAACAATAAAGTTCAAAGAATACCGTGTACATAGCATCTTGTTTAAACTTAAAAAAAATCTACGAATTGCACAATCTAGCATTGTGCACAAATCAACAAAATAAACTAAAATAACTAAAATTACAAACAATTCAAAAAGCAACAATAACAACAGAAATTCATAATAAAAAAACTGAACATAACATTCTACAAAATAAAAACAGTGAAATAAAATGCACTTACCATAATACATAATAAAATTTCGCCACTCACACAACGTCTTTGAACAAAAGTGCCACAATTTTGCTATATCGCATCTGTTTATGCGATTCAAAATTTCAAAAGTAATGATAAAAACTTCCTCCAAAGTTAACTTACTACACGAAAACCACGATCCAAATCTTAAACTCTGCTGACAGCCACATATTTTACCAGCAAGCATTTGACTGCAAATTCACACAAGAAGTATCAGAAACGCCCTGGTTCGTCGGAGTTCTCATAGCAGCTCTGCATTCCGGACTCCATTTTAAAAGTCTCATAGAAATTCCAAAAATACCCTTCAATCCTCATAAACACACTCGTGAACAAAATGCTTGTTAACAACTCCAACATCATACCTTTTAATACTAAATTTACTTTCCACAAAATCTAAAATACGCGACTGAAATCTTGCCACCACGTCTATCATTGCAACATAGGCCATTTCAAAACACTCACGACACGAACCAATGAGCAATCAAACCACTGCAGCAAAATAGTTAAGTTTGAACATCAAAAGGGTTGCCATACAAACAACATCATCCCCAAAACCCCCGCACAGCAACGCAACTGCGCCAAAAACCAGCACAGAAAATATATCGCCACATTTGGTGATCTTAGGGCGAATATAAGAGTAGAGCCATTTTTTCTAAAGAAGTATATAAATTAATTGCTATTTCTTTTCTTTTTGTTATGTATATCTTACATTTTTGGGAAGGGAAATTTGAATAAAATTTTGAATATAACTTCTACATATCAGCAAGCAGTAGAGTTATTTTCGAAGTTAAAGAAGTGATTATATTGGTGTGCACTCTCAAAACATTTAAAACATTCTAAGTTTTGGAAAAAGGTGCTATAAGACACCATGGAACCCCATGATACCACTTATATATGTGTTTAAACAAATTTATGTCGCACTGAGTTCACAAAGAAGTTAACATATTTTGTAGTTTTAAACACCATTAGAGATTTATGACCACAGAAAAGATTGGTGCTAATTTTGAAGAATTTGTTTTTCAAATATTCTTCAAAGTTTAAGCTCATATTTATTTAAGTTTTTATGTGCTGTATCCATAACTTGTATTTGCTGATTATTGAATTAAACAAGGAGCAGTTTGTGATTATCTAACTGAATAACGAGTAACAAACTTTTGCTGAAATGGAATGGCCTTCTGCTGGAAAGTTTGGTGATATCTCTGCCAAACTTTTGCAGTTGGTGGGAAAACATGTAGGTATTGATATTTTAATTATTTCCATGAATTCATGCTTTCTTGCTGAGAAATAAGCTTTGTAATTTACTTTTTCCTTTATATTTATTTTTGATAGACTTTTAATCAAAAGAAGTTTATAAATTTCTTGCTTTCCTAGGATTCTGTATCTCCTATTTATGCTAACATCCCCAAGCCTCTTGGGAGACTACCTTCTATTCCTAGACCTGATCAAATTCCACTTCGAGTTCTGACAAATGATTGGTTTGAATATGTTGATGAAGAGAGTGGGCGAAAATATTATTTTAATTCTGCTTCTGGAAAAGTAACATGGAAACCTCCTCGACGTCGTGAAAATATGCAGGTAAAATGCCAGAATAAATCCAGAGAAGTAAATTTTGATAAATTTCCTTAAACAGAATATGGTGCATTCATAACTCTTCATGACATGCTTGTTGACTATGTATGCCATATGTGTTTATCATAGGATATGCACCATTAAACTTCACCTGTAGTTTCTTTGTAAGCTCCTCATCGTATTATAAGTATGAAATATTTGTTCAAAAATGTTATCAGAAATGAAAATTCAGTAGAAAAAGATGTATAATTTTCTTTAGCATCCGCAGAATTTCACAAGTGATTTGGTGACATTTCATTAATATTTTGCAGAAAACAAAAATGCATCTTTTCTGATTTTGTGCACTGTGCATTCATCATGAGCTGAATTTTTTGTTACATAAATGTGCTTTACTACATGAAATACAATTTTGTTGTTCATACATATATTAGGGAAGTTAATCATCTCTTCCTAGTTTATTGCTTGCTTTCCCAAAAAAGGGGAATGAAATAATTTTGGCAGTGATACTGAGACTTTGCCTTTTTCACTGCTATTTGTCAACAATCATATTCTAAAACTGCTTCATGTTTGAGCAGCTACAAAGATAAACCTAGCATGTATATTATTGAGTTCCATCCTATAATGTTATTAAATGTTTTAAAAAGTATGCATAACTTAGCATTTCATGTTGTTTTAAAAGACCTAAAAAAATTTGTGTAAGCATATTTCCCTTTATCACTGCAGATTTTATGTCATACTGTTGTGTATATTCATTAAATTACATAGTAAATTGGAGCTTATTAAGGATTTCAAAAACATTATAGCAAAAGATAATTTAAGAGTAGTAAATTTCTAGAAATATGTAGGCTATCTGGAAAGTAAGCTCTGATTTCTTATAAAAATCACAGATTTTTTTAAAAAAACTTTTTTTTATGACTCTGGGATCGTGTGAGAAACCATGTTTTGTTTCCTGTGACAGTCCTTTCTAAAAATTATCTCCTTCATTATGGAGCAAAATATCAAGCACAAGCTATTTTTTTTTTTTTTTTTTTTGGTGTTCATCAATCAGTAAGCAGCCTGGGAACCTATGTGAGCACAAGTTCTGAAACTGCAACTTTTCAGAGAGTTTTGTGCAAAGTTCTTCAAGCCTGATTTGGAAATTCCAGTGCTAAAGTTGAAAATGTCAGTTTTCATAAATCTTTTCATGTATGGCATTGGCAAAATCTTCTGTGATCACCGATGTTAGCCTGATGTGTTAGCCTGATAAAATTGTGGTTCATCATTGACATTTTTCGATTCATCCTTGAAAACTGTTACCTACTTACGCACTTTGCTGTCGCTCATAGCATTGAGGCCATACATCACTTATCTGACAATGAATTTCCACTGCTGGAATGTTCCTTGCTGTCAAAAACCAAATCTCTGACTTTATTTCAGAGTCGGTGGGCTGGTCAATTGTTTTAAACATTCTGAATTGACACTGTACACAGCACACTGCAACAGTACCAATGCAAATGGTGCCGTTTGATCAGCAAGGCATGCCAGGAGTGAATGCATGTTTCAGTGTTAGCACACCATTAAATTAGCTACGGTGATTCGGACCTTAGTTTCCAAATAACCCTCATATGTTATTAAAAATTAGTGCAAATTTAGCCTTAAAATATGTTGCATATTTATACTACTGTATATGAAGTTATGTAAAATTATTGAGCACTGAAAGAATAGTCCATACAAGCAGTGTGCTGTGATGAATGTAGAAGTATAGGTTCTGTTACAGAAGCATAGGTTCTGTTAGGAAATGAATCAAGGAATTCACCCCAAACATCATTTTTGAATTTTAAATACAGTACAAAGTCCAAAATCTGGACCACCAGCAACATTTTTTGCACAAATTTTTTTGTATGCTTTATGTATTTGATATTTTTTCATAATGAAACGTGACGAGTCCTGATTCTTAATTTCACTTCAGCACTAAATAGCCATATTGAAGAAACAATCATTTAGTTGCATAAATCTCTGTGATCAATAATTTAATCTATAGCCTTCTTTTTGCTTAGCATACATCTGAAACTGAAACATTTGACAGAGGCTGTTTTAGCATACATCTCAAACTGAAACATTTGACGGAGGCTGTTTGCACATCTTTTAGACAATATTCATTGTAATTACAGAAATATTTTACCTAAAATTTTTATGTTTTAAATATTCTACAGTCAAAAGTCGTTAATTCGGACACCCATAATCCGGAATGATCTATAATCCGGATCTCAAAGGTAAAAACTTTCTGCGCATGCACCGCGTTGACACATGCGCATGGCATTTACGCGTGCGGTAAGACCTCTACGACTGCGCATATCCGTGTTTTCGCGTGCACGTTTAATGTATAACGAACGGTATAAGCTAAAATTATCTAATTATCTATTTGAGTTAATGTTGATGATTGCGTTGTTCCTTAATCTTCGAACTGGATCTGGCTTATTACATTTTTCGGACTGTAAGAACAATTTTATAAAAGTAAACTTGAACTTTCAATTATGTCAAATAGAATTTCTGATGATGGAGCTCCCAAAGGATCTACAAAACGAAAGTATGTTTCGATGTCCATCAAACAAAAAGTGGAATTGCTGCAAAAAATGGATAAAGACATGAAGAAGGTGACAGAGAGGTTAGTGAAAACGAAAAAATTTCGATTGACAAGTTAGTCGGTATTCTCGGCACAGCAATTACAGGACTTGAGCAGCGGAACTTTGTAACTGAACAAGAAATTATGTCTGCTTATAGAATTAAAGAGAAAGTGTTATCACATAAAACGAAGCAACTTAAACAACTTACATTGAAAGAAATGTTTAATAAAGTAAACAAATAAATATTAAGTTTTTTTTTTTTTTGTAAATTTTGATACCCTTTAGATCACAATTGTTCTTTATTTCATAAATTACGGTTTCATATTTTTAATTTTAGAATTTCTGCATGCCATCTTACCAGATTTAAACTGATGATCTATAATCCGGAAAAATCGATAATCCGGAATCGCTGAAGTCCCAACGAGTCCGGATTAACGACTTTTGACTGTATTTGATAGCCATTATTATTCTTCACTATTTTTATACACCATAATGCCTTTTGTAGTATTGGAAAAAGTATTTTATTCCATTAATCCCAAGGCACAAAAACACATTGGTGATAGATCAGGAGATTTAGTAGGGATACGGGTGAACTGTATGGCCTTGATACCCATTTCTTGTTTAATTTTTTCCAGGAAATTAGCAGTAGATTTTGATGTGTCGCTGTGTGCTTTATCTTGATGCAATTCTACTGATTGACCACATTGTGTGTAAAGAGAAGGTATTTCATATTTGAAATCTGGGTGTAGAATATGTTTTTGATAATATATGGAGTTGATCTTAACATTTTTCTCCACTCTCTTTATTTTCAATTTGCCTTTGTATAAAAAACCAGCAACAATCATAAGTCCCTTAAAAACTTTCTTTGGATTCCTTGAACCATGTTTTAATCTTTTTTTTCTCGTCTTTATAAATGAATTCCTTTTTATTGCAGTCATTTAAGTACATCCAAGATTCATCTATTGTGACCATTTTTCCATTTTTGTCTGTATAAATGTTTCTCAAAGAATTTTGCTGCACATTCTGTGATTGGCGATATGTTGTGGAGAAAGATGATGCACACTATGTTTTTTCACTTTAAGATTCAAATCAGCAGATCATGTAGTTTACAGTTGATACTCAGCATTTTAATGATTTTCCAAGTGTCCTTTGACCTTGATGGATTTTTTTAACGTTAAAGGTCTTATTTTTACAACATTCCAAACATAGGCCCACCAGTGGCCGAGCGGTAAAGTCGCTGAACACTGGTAGTTCGGTCCGAGGTTCGAATCCCACGAACGGGCTGGTTGCATGGGCGTTTTCGTGGTTTTCCCCGTGTGTAACGTGTATACGAGCCAGATTACCTTAGAAAGTCCTCCACGAAGGCATCTCTCCTCTTAGACAGGATAGCCCTAGTGTGCTTTGCCATAATTAAATACACATTAAATACACACATTCCAAACATTTTTTTATTGAATGCGTGTTTAGAAAAAATTTTCCACTTGAAGCTAAATTTTGATGTTCTTTTTCCCTTTATTGTTTACAACATTACTTATCGTAGCTTGAAATATTGAAAAACAAAGGTTTCCAAAAAATTTTTAATAGCTGTATACGAATAATTTTCATCGGAAGGAACACAAACAGTGTTCCATCCATTGCATCTTTAAAAGTGACATTTTGCATGAAAACAAAACTGTCAAGTAGCAGATGATAATTTATACTTTCAAAAATATAGTTGTAGTTATAAAAAGCATTCCAATTGGATGATTTTTTTGTATAGCAAAGCAAAATTGTCTAAAAAATATGCAAACAGCCTCTATACATCGAAATATAGTTGATTCTACGCCTACTTAATAATTTATATTGTTGATGCTAACCTGGTGAATAATTTATTATTTTTTCACTTTTATCATTATGCGACCATGAACATGTAGCAGCTTGAGAAATAACTCAAAGAGCAATGTGTAAATAATTTTTTTTTTTAGTATTAGCTACTGAATACTAGAGAGCATGGTAACCTTTTATGTTAACATTAGACTTGGTGATGATTACAGACTTGAACTAATTGTTGTGAAAAATGTTAATCATGTTGACTAGGAAAAATTTAACAGAAATTTTTTTCTGCATGCAAAAAATAGATTTTATAAATGATACTCATAGGCCTATAGATTGCATTTAATGCTGTTTGAATTGAGAATAATTGATTTTTTTATTCAGATAAGCCCAGGACCAGTATCAGTGTTCATGTGGGTTCACTGGGCAGTAGTATTTATTTGCTTTAAGAGTACTTTTACATAATGAGCACTTAAAATATGGAAGAAAAAATGGTCAAAGTATATTTATGGATACCCCTTGGCAAAAATTGGCAATTTTTGGCAGTACATGGATTACGAGTTTATGTAATTCTTTCACTTGTTATTTTGG